CTTTCAAAACGAAGGTAACTCGAGTTTGGAGGACCAAACTCTTTAAGGGGAGAAGACTACAATAACCCCGACCTCTGATTAACGTTAATTCATGATTAAATATGCCTAATAAGTAATTAAGGTGAAATTCTAAAGAAATTGCATATGTGTCACATTATTTGTGCTCATATCTGTCTAATGTAGAAATATCTGTTTGAATTCCTATTTTGTTTTGTGAATTGAAGGATGAAATCGACTTGATGTATGTGTTAGTTAGAATTTTTAGAACATTATAGTAAGTTCAATTGAAATTCGATTCCGGACAAATCAATTTAAATTAATTAATACCCTTGCCTAGCCTAAGTTAATTAAGGTAAATTAAGCCCACTAGTGGAGTCCATTTAAGGCTAATATAAACCTTAGAACCTTTTATACTCTCTTATTCCTCATCTTTTGGCTCCAACGTGTGAAGAGAGAGAGAGATAGAGAGACAGAGAGAATTGAAATCAAATAAGGGAATTACTAGTCATCTAAGGGAAATTGACTTGAAGGCTCAAAGATAGAACAACGTAGAACTCAATTGAAGGTCTTAGGTGAGAGTTTGATTCTTAATCTTTGTATTTAAATTGTTAATGAAGAGAATTCAAGAAGTTTTGGTGACTAAGTAAGAGACTTGAGCTTTAATGAATGAATTCTATGCAAGCATGCATATATCATGGCATTTTGAATAGATTTCTAAAGAATTGTCACATGCATGTGTCTATCTTGACTTGGTTTGAGAATTCATCATAATTCTTACCATTTGACCTTTAATTAATCATGTTTTGGAAAGCCTTGGTTCAAAGTAATTCATACATGTCGTGTTCACGGCATATTCATAAATTTCAAGTTGGAGTTTTGGTTAATTAGCTTGCTTTTGGGCCTTGATTTAGTAAAATGATCTTCAAACCATGGTATTTTACAAGTTTTTACATGTTTTCTGGAGTTTTGGCCCAAAAAGATAAGTTTTAAGGTGTGTAGTGCGAGTTTGGACCTTGGGAGTGCAATCTGGAAATTCCAGATTCTACGTTTCCGCTCGAGCGACAGAAGCTGAGCTTGAGCGACCACTCTATGAACTTATACTTCCGCTTAAGCGACTTGAGGTCAGCTCAAGCGTGAAATACGAGCTCCCAGAAGTTTCATGTTTTTGTATACCGCTCGAGCGACAAGAGTTGCATTTGAGTGAGGACCTGAGTCTTACACTCGAGCGATTGTCAAGCGTGAAAATCACATAACAAGTACTTTTTAAAGTTTGCATATCACTCGAGCGAAGAAGGTTGCGCTCGAGCGGCCCCTCACATGTTTGCATATCCGCTCGAGCGTATAAAATTGCCCTCGAGTGAGACCCCTGTTTTCAGCAAGTTTTGTTATGGTTCCAAAGTGTATTTTGGCATCCACATTGCCTCTAGGCATTTCTAGGCCATGATTAAGACTCTATAAGAGGTTAAGACCTAGAAACACACTAAGAATGAGGAGAAATAAGTTATGTACCCAACAAGTGTGTGTTTCATCATGTGTTTCTGTTATGTGTATGTAGGTCACGCCCCACAAATTATCTGATTTGTTTGTTCTGCAAGTGGAGCCATCTGTGAGTAGTAACTTTGTAAAACTATGTTTACATCTAAGTAATTTCTTATATGATATGATATGACATGAAATGCTCTGTTTTATGAAATGTTATATTCTGTCCAATGAATAATTGTTCAATTTTTGACAAATATTCGTGGCATCCTTAGCACAAGACCCTTGCCCGGGGGTAACAATACCGTGGTTTATAAGCAAGGCCCTTGCCTGGGGGTAATAATACCGTGGTCTCATGGTCCTTGCTTAGGGGTAACAATACCGCGGCTCAAGTATATTACAAGTTCCCGATACCGGAGGTTCCCTATGGGACTGACAAGCAATTTAACGCTAATGGATGTACCATGTAGAACAAAGCACGAACTCTAATTTCTGTTTGTAGATTGAACAAAAACATGAACATAATCTGTTTCTAATACGAACTCTGATTTCTATACTTGTTATGGACATCATTCATTTAAACCCTTTATTTTTTTATTATTCTCTGGGCTTCCGCGTGACCAGGCCTAAGCTGTTGCTTGGAGTTTTGGGTTAGCCAGCCACTGTGTCTCCCGGGGAGGTTCCCTTTGAAATGTTTAGTTTGTAACCTCGCTACAGATGTTTTTGCTTTGTTTTGTTTAACTGTATATTGGGCTAAGTTCCCTTTTGGCATTATTTGTGTACTTGGGTGACGTAAGACTCATGTATTTATGACGTCACGTATATATATATATATATATATATATAAGTTGTTTTGAAGTTTTCTATCTCATATATGTTAACACAGTTTTATGGACATTGTATATTTTCTATATTTGCTTCCGCAACCCCTTATTACATGTTACTTTGTTAAGAGGCCTTTGGTAATCCAAGTATTACTGGCCAGTTACGACGCTAAACCCATAGGGGTGAGTTTGGGTTGTGACAATGTGTGGCTGCAATAACTTTGCAGGATCTTTGTCTACTCACATGGTTAGTTCCCTACCTAACAAGTGTTTGAATGCTATTGGTCCGGGGCCAGCATTGCCTTCTCAAAGTTATTAGGCTTACTAGGCTTTAACACATGGGCGGTGAGCTGGGCCCTGAGTCGTGGACTGGGCCTCTTTGGGTACCCATCAGTATCATATGTATATAATACATATATATTAATGGAACCCAATATTTAAGCACTCATATTTCAAGCAATTGTTAATAGGGATTGAAGTAGATGAACCATAGCCGATGGTTGAACTGATCGACATTTAGAGAAATTGATGGTGGTTGTTTTTTAATTTTTGTGTTTATCTTTTCTTCTTTGACTTTCTCCTAAACCTAGGTTTATGAAAATTCAAAACATCCAGAGAAGAGCGAGAGATAGAATGAGGTTTTGATAGGGTAGTGGAAGGGATTTGGTGGTGGATTCGATAGTTGTAGTAGAGATATCGGAAATGGTCTTTATCTATACATTCATCATCGTCCTCATCTTCATCGTCGCCATTAGAGGATTGTTCGTTTTCTTCGTCAGGAATTGGTGGTTAATCCTCTAGCTTTTCTTCGATCAAGACAGTATATATATAGAGGTAGACAACAATGGTGGTGTTGTTGGTTGTAAAAGGTTGTCGAAAGAGGAGGTCATTGGAAATGGAGGGGAGGTTGTTGCAGGGAAGTTGGAGGGGTTGGAAGATGGGACTGCCGGCGGTAAGGGCTTCGGCGATAAGATGATTGCACAAGAAAAATTGAGGGTCCATAAGATGAAGGGTATGGTTGGAACTAAGGTGGGGGTTCAAAGAGAAAATAGAGGAGATTTATTTAGGTGGATAGGGGTTTAAAGAAGTGGGGGGGTCAAAATAAAAAGTTAGGGGCATTTAGCAGCACTGGTATTATCGGTCAATGAAAAGTTGCAAAGATTAATTGGATAAATCTTATTTTCTATTAACCCAACATTATTGTGGTCCCTATCACAAACTAAGACTACCCATTAGATAGTGATCCTACCACACATATTCCTTTACATCTAATATAATATTTACTTATGTCTGTCTCCGAGTTTCTAAATTAAGAGAACTAGTGAGTGTGTATCCATCCGATGAATATACTTTTAAATATGTAAATATAAAGTTTAATTTTAAATTAAAAACATAAATTTATTGTTCAATTGATAAAGTTATTTGTTTAGTTAATTCACTTTTTAGAAAATTAATGTAGCGTTTGATAGAATTTTAGAATTATGATTTGAGAATAGAGTTGTAATTTGAGTTTGTGAGTTTTGAAATTATGATTTGCAAAGAGAAAATTTGTTTGGTTATGAGTTTTGAATTGAATTAAGGTAGCGTTTGGTAGAGTTTTAGAATTATGATTTGAGAATATAGTTGTATTTTGAGGTTGTAAGTTTTGAAATTATGATATGAAAAAAGAAAATTTGTGATTATGAGTTTTGACAAGAGTTTTGAATTGAGTGTTGAATTTTTTAAATGAGTTTTAAAATAAAAAAATATAAAAAAATTGTTTGATTATGAGTTTTAAAAAGGATTTTCAAAATTTAATTAAGAAACTTGTAACTCATAGCCAAATACACAACTCATAACTCTATTAAAAATTCATAACCAAACTTTTTTTTAAAATTTAATTCTAAAAAATAACTATTGAAAAAATAAATTTAAAATTATTTTTCACATAACAGTTGCAAAAAAAAAAAAAAACCACTATTTCGGTCCACCGGCCGGACGTTCGGGAGGATGACTCAGTATACCCAAAAATTCAAAAACTGTCTGGGGATGTCCGGGTGGATGACCGGGTAGACCAAATTTCGAAATTCGAAATTCAAGTAGTCTGTCTGCCACCCATATTTTGGGAAGAATTTTTAAACGTGGGTGTAGAATTAATTTTTGAGATTTATATCCAGACACAGAACTCAAATATAAGTGTGGAATCATGATTACAATTCTACACCAAACACACAAGTTTTTTTTTTTTGTATTTTTTTGTCTTTAGTAAATTTTTTATTTCTTATATACATCTAATTTAGATACACTTAAAATATATAATTTTTGTAAATTTTTTTAAAATACACCAAATATAAAAATAGAATATATTTTCGTATTTTTTATATTTTTTTATATTTAGGCCAAGTTTGGGAAGACTAAATAAGTGCACTTTTTGACTTTTTATGAAATATGGGTTGGATTTAGGTTGGGTTTGAAGTGATGTGCTAGAGAGGTGATGTGACTTAAATAAGATGATGTGACTTAAATAGAATAGTGACTTTTTGACTTTTTGGATTTTTTAGGAGATCCCAAACTTGGCCTTAATAAAATTTTTAAATTTTTTGCAAATAAATTTAATTTTTTTAAAAAATTATTAAAAATATAAAAAAATGAATTAAAAATTTCAACTGCAATCCAAAATTAATGCAAACCAAAATTAACACAAATCCAGCTCGTCCTCTCTCTCGCTCGCTCTGTCATCCGTCTCGATTTCTCTCTGTAGGTGTGGGGTTGCTATCTACTCCACACACTCTCTCTCTCTCTCTCTACTTTCTCTTTCTATACCTACGCGCACCAACAAATGCTTTTTCTGCCCACTCTTTCTACGTCTTCTCTCTCTAAAAGTATAGATTGAAAATGCCGTTTTGCCTTTTTTGAAAGGGCATCGCTTCCAAGGCAAGCATGAAAAGCTTAACCTAAAACCCTAAACTTTTCAATTTTTTTTTTTTTTTTCTGCCTGTCTGTCTGTCTCTCATTATGCTCAATCAATCATTACGTTGATGTTGTTCATCGAATTGGTCTCTCAGATCTCTGAACTCTAAAAAGATTTCTCTACGTACACACACACACACACACACATATCATATGTTTAGTGGTTCCCTGATTGATTAATTGCAGGTTTATTTGTGGATTGTGGAGCTACAATGGCGTCGAGGCATGGGTCGAAATCGAAGAAATCGAGCTCCAGAGGAGTGAATACGCCGTCTTCCTCTACGACGTCGTCGTCGAAGCATTTTCCGGAGACTTCCATTGAAGGTCTGAGTTCGCCGGCGTCGTCTGCGAGAAGTAAACCTCAATACTACTACTCTGAGACTCTGCCTCTGGATGCTTCTGCTTCTGCTGCTGACAGATCCAAAGAGAATGTCACCGTTACTGTCCGCTTTCGGCCTCTCAGGTCCTCCTTTTTTCTTAATTATGGATGAATGAATGAATTGGGTTTGATTTATTGTCAGCATTTTAATTTTTAAATTTTAAATTTGTGTGTGTGGGGTTAATTTGGTTGTAATTTGTGTGTTTGGAGCAGTCCGAGAGAAATTCGGCAGGGGGAGGAGATTTCATGGTATGCGGATGGTGAAACCGTTGTGCGGAATGAGCATAATCCATCAATAGCATATGCATACGGTACACTTAACATAATATAATACATTCGAGTATGCTCATGATGTATTATAGGAGTATATTTCATGCTTGTTAAGTTTATTATTTGAGTGGTTGAATAAGAAAAAAGGTCTTTTTAAAATTAATAATTATATATAGCTGCCTTTACATTTGACCAACGTTGTGCTGCTAAGAACTGGGTGGAGAAATAAATGAATGTTAATGATGAAACTAGTAGCCTAGGCACTTTTACTCATTTCCAAGGAAGGCTGGTTACATGGAGCCAGGGCTACTCCAAGGTGGCATTTTTTTCTCTATGGTGTTCAGCTTATTGTAATCCCTAATATCAATAATTTGATCCAAACAAGATAAGTGACAGGGAACTGGTGTTCTATGTGTAATAAGGACGGTGAAATCGGTAATCACCTTCTTATCGATTGCCATGTTGCAATAGAAGTTTGGATGATTGTTCTTTGTTTAGGCTGGTGCGTTTTTTCTTTCTTTTCTTTCTTTTCCCTTGAGCATGGTGGGCATAAGGGAAGAGGAGGAAGAAGATCTGACTTTTGATTCTCCTATGCGTTATATGGATCATCTTTTGATGGAATAGATGTCCACTTGTATAGGTTTGAAAGTACTTGTGTAAGTTCAACTCAACTCAAGTAGCTTTTGTCTCATTACTTTTTAATGAAATTTATTATAGATAGATAGATTTTGGAAATGAAAATGTCACATTGTGCCAACACCATGGGAAGCCTTCACTTTATAATAGTATAGATAGATAGATAGTTGACATATAATAAATATATAAAATTATATAACCCATATGTCTGCTCCCCGCAGGTCGTGTCCTACATTTTTTTAAAATTGACGAGGCTTAAGATTGACTTTGGTGTGAAATTTAAAGGTATAGCTTGCGTAATTTTTTGACAATAGGTGAAATTCAAGGTTGGGGTTTAGGTATCAAATTGGGTTGAAAGATGGGCAAACCATAACTATAAATTCTGTGGTACTTTGGAAATTTAAGAGAAAAAGAATAAATGAGAGAGACTTCAAATCTATGACAAGGCATTTGAGTCTTACCTAGAAGAAATTAATGGAATATCACCAATAAAAGAGGGCAAAAGTTTGCAAAAATAACTTATCACTCTAACTTCTTAAATTGTCTATACGTGGTTCGTTTTAGTTCACCAATTGTATCAAAAACTTAAGCTGTTAGGAAATAAGCCCAATAATGTATATTAAGTTGTCGAACACCCTCTCCCACGTTGAAATAGGGGTTTGAGTCAACTTGTACAATTTTAGAGCCAGACTCTAAAAAATGGATCAGATCAACTATTGAAATCGAAATTGCTACTGTCTTTGAAGAGACGATATCAAAGGAGTTCCATATCAACAAAGGCTTGTAACACAAGGGAGACAAAGGTCAAGATCGAAAAAGCTTACGTCTAAGAATCACAAGAAGCAAAGTTGACCAGTCATGTTGGGGTTCAACTATGCCTTTTTATTGTATATATAGATTGAGTTCTTGAACAATTTGCAAAGCAATGTTGATAATAGTATATCATCTAAAATACAGATGCTTTTGAACATATTGTACATTTTGAGATTTGGGATCATCTAGTTTAGAATTTTTGGACTACAAGATAATCAAACCAAACCAAACCAAGCCTTATGTTCCATCAAATAAGGTCGGCTATATGAATCTCTCTTCTCCACTTGACTTTATCAATGGCCATTTGGTTAGTCAAATTAAGGCGATTCATTTTTCAATTTACTACACTAGCTCACATCAATCTAGGTCTGCCTCTTCCCCTAACACTTCCATCTACTGTTACTATATCATATCTCTTTACTATTGTCTCTGTTGGTTTCCATTATATATGATCAAACCATTTTAATCTATTCTCTCTCAATTTATCTTTTGTTGGTTCTACTCTTACCTATTCACAAATATACTTATTTCTAACTCTGTCTTTTCTAGTCTTGTCACACATCTATCTCAGCATCCTTATTTCAGCAATACTCATCTTATTTGCATGTTGTTTCTTAGTTGCTCAACATTTCATCTCATACAATATTGCTGGTCTAATAATCGTTCTATAGAACTTTCTTTTTAGTCCAGTGGGTACTTATTTATCAGACAGTACCCCAGATGCACTTCTCCACTTAAGCCACCCCGCCTTAATTCTATGGACCACATCTGATCCAATCTCCCTAATCGTTGTGATAATCGATCCTAAATAACGAAAATATTCACTCTTAGGTAGTTATTGGTTCTCAATCTTCACTTCTCCTTTGCTTCCATTGTTAATGTTACTAAAATTACATTATATACTCTGTATTAGTTTTGCTTATCTGAATCCTTCAGATTCAAGCGCTTCTTTCCAAGTCTCTAATTTAGTGTTAACTTCTTCTCTGGTTTTATCCACTAATATGATATCATCTACAAAAAGCATACATTATGACACATTATCTTGAATATTTCTCATCAACTCCTCCATGATTAAAGCAAAAAAATAAGGATTTAAGGTTAATCCCTCGTGTAACCCAACAGTAATTGAAAATTTACTAGTCTCTCCAGTAGGCGATCTAATAGTGATCACCACACCTTCATACATGTCTTTTAATCACATCAATGTAACAATTTGTCACCAATTTCTTCTCTAACACCCATCAAATTATATTTCGAGAGACTCTATCATATGTTTTTTCAAGATCGATAAAAATTATATGAAAATCTCTTTTATTTTCTTTATACTTTTCTATTATTCTCTTCAAAAGATAGATCGCTTCTATTGTTTACCTATCAAGTATAAGTCCAAATTGATTTTCTAACACCTTTGTTATATCTCGCAATCGATGTTTCATCACTCTCTTTTAAACTTTCATTATATGACACATCAATTTGATTCCTCTATAATTGTTGCAATTCTGGTCATCTCCTTTATTCTTATAGATTGGCACTAAAAACTCTTCCTTCACTCCTCTGGCATTTTCCTAGGCAACAAAATCTTACTAAATAACCTAGTGAACCAAGCAATTCCCTTCTTACCCAAACATTTCCAAGCTTCAATAGGGATATCATCGGATCCTAAAGCTTTATTCAATTTCATTTTCTTAAGTGCAATTTCTACTTCAAAGTTCATTATCTTGCGATGTAACCTGTAGTCTTGGTTTTTTTTATTATTGGCTACTTCTTTCCCTTTTGACCTTCCTCTACGTCCTTCATTTAACTTTTCAAAATAGTTCTTCCACCACTCCTTAATCTCTTCATCCTTCACCAATACCTTCCTCACTCTTAATGCACTTGACCTGATTAAAATCTCTTGTTTTCTTCTCTTATTTTAGCAATTTGGTATATTCTCTTTTCTTCCTCCTTTCTATCTAGTCTAGTGTATAGGTCATCATAGGCTTTCAACTTAATCTCTCTCATTACTTTTTTGACCTCCTTATTAGCCAATCTGTAGCTCTTAAGGTTTTCCTCAGTTCTATCATTTTGCCACTTTTTAAAGCATTCTTTTTTCGTCTTTACTACCGCTTGAACCTGCTCCCTTCACCACCAAGTTTCCTTAGAGTTGGGTCCCTTTCCTTCCGATTTTCTAAGGACTTCCCTTGAGATTCTCATATAATTGGCCATCAAGTTCCACATAGTGTTAGTATCATCTTCTAAGTTCCAAATACCTTCTTTATCCATTCTATTCTTAAATATTTTTAGTTTATCCCTTTTTAGGTCCCATCATCTTGTCCTATGACGCCTACTAGCCTTCCTAGTTTGGTAACTGCCCTTTAAAGTATAAATCTACTACCAAAATCCTATGTTGAGATATCAGGCTCTCTTCAGGAATCACCTTACAGTCACTGCATTTTAGATAGTCCAATTTTCTTACTAGAAAATAATCTATTTGGCTCCTAATTAACCACTCATAAAGATTATTAAATGCTCCTCTCTCTTGTTATACATGGTATTGGCCACTGCTAGGTCAGAAGCCAACGCGAAATTTAAAATACTCTCTCCAGTCTCATTTCTATCATCAAAAACCATGCCTACTATGCACTCTCTCATAACCTAGTTTATTTATTCCTACATGGCCGTTGAAATCTCCACCTATAACTAGGTTCTCTTCTATGTGTATCTCCAGTAATACGTCATTCATTTAGTCCCAAAAATCTCTCTTAGTCTGATCATCTTATCCTATTTGAGGGGCGTATGCACTAATAACGTTAACTATATTCTTTCCAATAACTAGTTTAACTGACATAATCCTATCACATTTCCTGATGACTACAATTACATTTTCTATAAGACCCTTGACAACTATTATTCCTACCCTATTCTTGTGTCTATCCTTGCCATTATAATATAGTTTAAAACTAGTATCTTCTATTTCCCTAACTTTCTCACCTGTCCACTTGGTTTCTTGTACGCGAACTATACTAACTCTCCTCCTAATCATGACTTCTACTAATTCCATAGTCTTACCAGTTAAAGTTCCTACATTTCATATGGCTACCCTAAGCCTATAGTCTTAGACTAGTTTCTTTATCTGCCCTCATCTAGAAAAACGTGGAAATCTTCGCCCCATTTTTCATCGTACCCGGACGGCAATGCGGCGTCCCTTGCTCACTTTTCGAAACACTCGGAGGCAAGCGCAAAGCGTCACTTAAGGGAAACGACCTAGTATTTAATTGATTCAAAGTAGGATTCATTTTCATAAGGGATCTAAGAGGCTTTTTTACGTGTTGGTTGTCGGCTACCTAACACACAATCCTCCTCCTTTACCCAGGTTTGGGACCGGCAAAGTTGTTAAACAAGATTTTCTAGAATAAAAATATTAAGACACATTTAAATTATGCCTACCAAAAATGAAGAAAAGAAGCTTACAAAGCTATTTTTCAATCAATCAATTTTGTCATCTTTAGTAATTTCTCAAATTTTTTGCACAAATAATTGAAGAAAAATTAAAAGAAAAAAAAATTACTAAAGAAGAAAAAACTTCTAAAAAAAGTTGATTTAAAGCAATAATAAATAAATACCATAGCAAAGATTTTTGGAGCCACCACTATATATATAGATCATAATATATTACATAGCATATTTTTGTGGGGGTGACCATTGGTTCAACGGTAAAACCTTGGCTCAATAACCTTAAGGTTACGAGTTCAAGTTTCGGGACATCCACTTTGTGCACTATGTCAAAGGTTAGGTGTGTACCTCATCTTTTCTCTCCCAAACACACATTAATGTGTATTATTTGGGCGTTGTTTTATTTTTTGTGGGGGTGTCCTTGACATGTCTTGTCATGCATTTGGTTTTTTGAAAATTGTTGTGTTATTGCTTCCATCCGTTGTATATTTCTGTGTCTCATTGAAGGTGGCAAACTCCACTTTTATTAATTACCACTTTGGTCCCAAAGTTTATAATAATTACATTACTAATTATGCTCTTTTAAAAAATCATATATTTTGATCCCAACTATAAAATAACATATAAAGTTATAAAATAAATTCTACTTTTCCCATTTATAATTAAATAATACTAGTACGAAATGGGAGAATAATTAAATTTTTAGGTTGTTACATTTCCTCATTCACTTTCTCACAACAAACTGAATATTTTTCTCAAAATCACTCATCTCTTTTATCATAAGAAGCACGGACATGGACGCGGACGCGGACACGGAACACGACAATTTCAAAAAAATGGAGACATGGTGGGACACGACAATAAAATATGTTTTTATATATTTTTATTTGCTATCTGTATTAATATTACATCCATAAACAATTGATATTACAAAAACTAACTCTAATTCAATTTATATATATATATATATATATATTTAAAAAATGGCACTTTTAAATTAACACTTACAGTTTGTATCTTTTTTTAATAGATGATCTATTAAGTATTTAAATCTAAGAAAAAAACAATAAAAATTCAAAATCAACATTCAACATTCATCAAAAATACTGAAAAAAATGGAAGAAAAGACAATTTGGCATGTTCCCGAAGTGTCCCCGGTGTGTTCCCTGAAAATAAATTAATTAAATAAGGCGACACGCCATGTAGTGTGCCCCATACATATGCCCACCGTGTCCGTGTGTCCGACATGGATACGACACTAGTTTTGAAGTGTCGTTGCTTCATAGCTTTTATCCCTTTCCTTACCCCACTCGGTGAGAAGAAGGCAACTCCATGGTTGTCTAATTTCTTGAGTTGAGACTGTAAGCAGCTAGCTAATTCATGAAAATTATGAAACCAAATACTTTGGCAAGCACTGTCTCTTTTATCATCTACGAACAAGAACGCTTCTTTTACCTAGACCTACAAGCTTTCCTTGACTTATCACACTAACACACCAAACATAGTTAACTTTACATTATCTGAAGTTTCCTGAAATTGTCCACATCAATACCTTTTGATATGCAACTGCTTTCTATATTTTCATTTTCCATTTATTGTGATTTTTTCTTGTGTGTTTATTGTTCAATTGTCTTGTTCAGTTCCTTTAGCTTGATCCAGTCAGAGTTGGATAATTGTTTGAGGTTAGTTTGCTAAGTCTTGGGTTTGCTCAAGCTTAATTAGAAATTATCTAATCTTATTTGAGATTGGGCTGAATTTTAAATGAAATGCATACTATATTCAGCTTGGCTTGGATAAAAAGATAGGCATGTGTTGCTCATTAAGGCATTGTTTGTACATGTGGCTTTTGGTTTACCATGGCTATGGCTGTTTGTGATTGGTAACTTTGTAGAAGTCCTTAGAAAGATTTGAACTGGTATAACATCCAAGAGATTTTGCAACTTCAGTTGTCACGTTCATCTTGGGAAAAGTCATTTTTAGCAGCTTCTATAATAAGATTATTATTAAATTACACTACAGGTCATGCTTGGGTAAATATTTCTGATTGTTGAGTCTTTCTTTGACTCATTTTTCCTGTGAAAGTTACATTCTACTATGGACAAGTCATTTTCCATAAAGATAAATATACACAATCCGGATGCTTGGAAAGTTTATTACAAGGCTGATGGACTTTACTTCGTTCCAAAGAAGCTATAACTTGACTTTATTAAGACCCAAAAGGCAAACCCAAATAGACATTTAGTAAGCCATGCTCAAGCCAACCTTCTGTTGCTCAATCTATGTTGAGGACGTTGTCAAGGTTTTAGATTTAGTTTGTAGGGAAAGACTCACACTTATTGACCCTTCGTCAAGTGTGTCAAGATTGTGCCTGAAAGTTATTCTATTTTTTTTTTTTCCAATTCAAATATTAAGTCAGTTTGTTGAACACATTATTTTAGCTTCCACTATTTATTTATTTATTTTTCATTTTCTTCTTCAAAGATTTCTTTTCTTTGTTCAGTTTCATTTTCTAAAATAAGTACACATTTATATTGTAGCTGATTGTTTTTCATTTCCATGCTTCCAGATCGGGTGTTTGGCCCCACAACCACCACACGTCATGTGTACGATGTTGCTTCACAACATGTCGTCAGTGGTGCTATGGAGGGCATCAATGGTATTATCCTTTATCTTATTGCATACGCTGTGTATTATTTATTGTATTTGCACATTCTTTTAAGAAAATGCTTTTAAATTAATTTTTACCTGGAGGGAACACATCTCTTAGTCAAAATTCCTTTTCTGATTATATTAGGTTGGCAAAAAAGGAATATGTTGCTTCTCTTAGAATTTGATGATTTTGTTACTTTGAGATGAGGCACTAGAAACAAACAAATATTGAGTTGCAATTATATTGTTGTTTTTTGGCTCACAAAGAGGCTTTGCCACAACTAATGAGTACATGTAGTCTCTCGCCCCACATATACAAGCAAATTACAGAGCCTAGTGTCACGGCCTTGGACGTCGCAAGCCAACCGTGCGGCCTTACATGCTTTTCAACCCACTTGGTTGCACCTAAGTTAGCCTTCCCCACTCAACCACACTAACACACACAAGTTTTAGGTGGAAGAATGCCTTCACTATACAAGTTTACTGTACAAGTATAGTCGTGTACAAAGCTTTACAAGGCTCTCACACTCACACTCACACTCACAAGTGCTTCACTCTTAGAGCTCTCTTGGATCTCCAACATTCGATGCCTAACAAATGAGACCCCTCACCCTTATATAGCCATTCTCCTCCCCAATGGACGGCTAGGATCATTTTGATCCAAGGGCTACAAACTCTCATCTAGAACCCTCCATAGAACTATCTAGAACAACTACCCCTCCTACTACATTCTAAAACTCTCTATGCTAGTGTAGTACATGGTAGGCTTCTCCATGATATTCTAGGATGTTCCAGACCCATCTAGACTCTCCTCTGGACACTCCAAGGTTCTTCCACATTCTGGAATCTTCTAGGCCACTCCAGACCCTTCTACCACGTTCTAGAGCCTTCCAGCATACTCTAGCCCGTTCTTGCACCTTCCGGAACCTTCCAGCGCATTTGGCACACTTCAAATGCTGCTCCTTGTGTCACAGAAATTCTCGGGGCGTGACACTAGGCTCTGGAGGTGTCCTCAAGAGAGAGGGGAATGGAGCTTTTAACAATTGGTCCAGCTCTTGTGGTTTAAACCCATGACTTCGCATATAGGAGTCATAGTCCTTGGCCAGCTGGGGCAGCCAAGTTAGTTTAATTGATACAAAACATTGGGTTCATTACATCTTTGGAGTATACTAGATAGTCTGGTATAGCATGATAAGTTGATTGAAGCAGTGAGGAACTTGTCTTGATTGGCCTGTATTCCATACCAACAACCTCTCTTTCACAGTTTGATGTTTGGCCTCTTCGCCCAGTTTCCATCAGCTGGTTTGATCACTAAATTGGCATTCATTGTGTTGGAGTGGCTTGGCCTTCCTGTTTCAGGTCACAGTTAGGCACTAATGCCAAACAAAAACCAAACCTTTGGTTAAGTAGATACAAAAGGGCCTGTTTGGTGCAACTTTCTGTTAACGGAAGTCCTTCGCTAAGGACTTCATAAAAAGGGCTACTACCTAAGGACTTTGAGAAGATGATGGATGCTTGCTGAATGTTTTTGGTGGAAGTCCTTCGAAATCAAGAAGTGCATACCATGTAAAAGTATGTTTGGTGGTAACACTTATCAAATAACTTTCCAATGTCATTAGTGTCATCAACACATATACTTCAAAAAAAATTACATGAATCTATTTTTTTTTTTTTTGTAATAAAAAAGCACATGTTTTTCCATGTGTAATAATAAGAATTTTTTAAAAATTATTTTTGCTCCAAAAAGGAAAACTATATAAAAATAATGAGTGTTTCTAATTTTTTCTCAGCAAATTAGTTTTTGAAAAATTTTCAAAAAATATATTCTAATAACTCAACCAAACAAATTTTCTTTTTTTAAACATGTAAATCAAGAAGAAAAATAAAAAAAGTCAATGAAAAAAAGAAGTGAAAAATATGTGATTCGATTTGAAAAAAAGCTGTGATATCAAGCTGTGAAATAAAAGTGCAAAATACAACAATCATTCTATTTATAGGCTAGGGTATGTAAATTTTACAATGTAGAAGGTTAGTATGAGAATTTTGTTATAATATAGGGGCCGTATAGAGAATTAAGAAAATTTCACTTAGACTGGGCACTGGCTTCGCAAGTAGTATTTTTTCTATGATTTTTGGAAGCCTACTTGGGAGACTTCTCTCAAATGGACTTCTTCGAATTTCCTCTGCCAGTGGCTTGGTGAAAGGACTTAATGTTAATTTCATCCGAAGGACTTCCATGGTGAGGAAGGACTTTCAAACAGTAAAGAAGTCTTCAGAAGAAAGAAGAAGAGAAACCGAGAGAGCTCAAGAGCCTACACTACACTGCAAACATCTGATATGATGGCAAGCGATAGGTAAAGGGTTCCATACCTAACAATTGTATCTTGTATCTAAGGGTTCTAAATCCCTAAAATTTCAAGAAAATACTTTTCCTTAAATTATCTTTTGTTAATTTTTTGTTCTTCATTAATCAGAGGTTTCATTTAATTAAAATGTGTAATTAACCATTTGGGATACAGATCGGAAATAGGAACCTGCTATTCAAATAATCAATATTGTTTAGTCCAAAAACTAAATAGTGGATATTTGTAACATGAACTTTGAAATGTGTTAAAACACTTCATGTTTCGAAATTTGTGTCTACAGTCATACTACATATGAATATTTCATTAAAGTTTATAAAAATAACGTGTCATAATATTGTTTTCTTTTACCATTGGATCCCAAGTTATTTCTTGATACGTGTAGTGTGTTTCATGTGTGTCTAAGTGATAAACACGTGTGTCCTTTAAGTATGTTCCTAGGTCTACATTAAAAAAAATAAATTAACATTTGGACTTGTCCAATAGAAGTTGGAAAGTGTACAAAAGCGTTGTTGTCCGACATGGACAAGGCACCTCCTTAGAAGTGTTTGTGCTTCTTAGAACCTTGTACATTTGTTCAAATGCAAAAAAAATAACCCCAAAAAAGTTAATAGCCTCAAGGCCTTCTACCTGTTGACAACCCCCAAAAGATCCCCATGGACTCTAAATTTAAGACATAATCCCAATAACCTTCATTGCTAGTTTTGGGATTGTGGTGGATAGTAAGGTCTTTATGGCTAATTATTTCCAATGAAAGCCAATATATGTTTTGTATTTTTTAGGAAGATTTGCAAGATTGGGAGGTTAATAAGTTAGTGGGTATGCTTGAGATACTATATGGGGTTTTGGGCATGGCAAGGGAGAGGATGTCATGAGATGGATGATGTCTAGTTCTGTGCACTTTTAGGTAAGGTCATTCAATGGTATTTTGGTGGCTAGTCGAGATTCCTCTTTTCCTTAGTAAGGGATTTGGTGGCCCAAAGTGCCCTTTTAAGGTGGTGTTGTTTGTATGAACTGCAGAATATGGAAAGTTTCTCACGATGCATATATTATGCTTCGTGGATGGGATTATTGTCACTTGGGGCTGCAATGCAAGTGCAAAAATGTCACAGTGGGGTTTGTTTCATATCATGGAGTAATTTGATTCATGAAAATCTGATACAGTTGAGTAGAATTAGGAGTGTTGAAGTCTTTTGATTTAGTTGGAATCTTCCTATAGCTTAGGAGATGCGTATCTATTTTGTTGGAGTTGTTCCTATTTTTATGGCTATTACCGTTGTATGACTTTTAGTTAAAATTATGAGAACAAGTTTAAGATTGACAGGAGAGAAGAGAAAAATAAAAGAGAGAATTCTTATTAGGAAGAGGCACAAAACCTTAGATTAGGTTTTCCTCTATAACAATATGTATTTATACTAATCAAATAAGTACATAAAGACAAAACTACCCTTCATCTAACTTAACACTCCCTCAAGTTAGTGCATAGATATCCCTCATGCTCAATTTGCACACAATGGGATGAAAGACTTTACTACCTAACCCTTTAGTAAAAACATCGGCTAACTGATCTTCGGATTGCACAAACGGTATACAAATCACACCACTACTTATTTTTTTCTTGATAAAATGTTTGTCAATCTCAGTGTGCTTGGTCCTATCATGCTGGATAGGATTATGAGCAATGCTAATAGCAACCTCATTATCACAATACAACTGCATTGGTCCACCATTCAACAATCCTAAGTCTGTCAACAACACTTGAAGCCACATGAGCTCACAAATGCCATTTGCCATTGCTCAGTACTCCGCTTCTGCACTTGATTTGGCCACAACAGCTTGCTTCTTACTCCGCCAATTTACTAGATTACCGCCTACAAAAGTGCAATAACTTGAAGTAGGCCGCCTATCATCAACTGCACCAGCCCAATCTGCATCAGATGACCATGATTGTAGAACAAGATTCCTTTTGCAGGTGTTGATTTGAGATACCTGAGGATCTGATTAACTGCATCCAAATGCCCTGTTCAAGGATCATGCATGAATTGACTTACAACACCAATTGCATATGCAATATTTGGCCTAGTATGAGAAAGATACATTAATCTCCCTACAAGTCTCTGATATCTTCCTTTATCTACACAATCTCTATCACTGCTGCTAAGTCTATGATTAGATTCAATAGGAGAATCTGCTGGTCTACATCCCAACATACCTACTTCTTCAAGTAGATCCAAGATGTACCTTTGAGAGATAAAGATGCCATTATCCGATCTAGCAATCTAAATCCCAAGAAAGTACGGCAAATAACCAAGATCTTTGATTTCAAATTCCTTGGACAGTCGAGCCTTGATTTGGGACATCTTCTCTACTTTGTTACCAGCCACCACTATGTCATCCACATAGACAATAAGAATAGCAATTTTATTTCTACACTTTTTTTATGAACATAATATGATCAGCATGACTTTGCTTGTATCCAAATCTGAGCATCGCTTTAAGAAACCTATCAAGCGAGGCTCTAGGAGACTGTTTCAATCCATACAAAGCTTTCTTTAACCGACAAACCTTTCCTTCAGTGACCGAAGAAGAGAAACCTGGAGGAACATTCATGTACACTTCTATGATATCACCATGGAGAAAAGCATTCTTTACATCAAGCTGTTATAATGGCCAACCTAGATTTGTGGCATAGGAAAGACACAAATATAATTCATTTTAGCCACCGGAGCAATTAATGCCATAAGTCTGAGTGAACCCTTTAGCAACCAGTCTTGCCTTATATCTCTCAATAGTCCTATCAACCTTCTGCTTGATTGTAAACACCCATTTGCAACCCACAGGTCTTTTACCTGATGGTAAAGAAACTAACTCCCAAGTGCCATTTTTACTCAGAGCTCTCATCTACTCTGCCATAGCTTCTTTCCACTTAGGATCATTGAGTGTTTCCTTCCAATTATGAGGAATAGAGACAGAAGACACAGACGAAATAAATGCACGATATGATGAAGATAAGGGGTCATATGACACAAATTTAGAAATAGGATGTTGGGTACAAGTTCTGACACTTTTTCTAATAGCAATAGGAAGATTTGAATCATGAATAGGGTTAGTAGAAGAAGTAACCAAAGACTCATTACCTGAGGATTCCATAGAAGAATTAGGAACTGGAGTTGGAGGTGATGGTTGGCATGGCGGCATATAGGTCGACTGTTCCCTGTCGCTGAGAGTAGGTTTGAAGATTTGATCTATCCAACGTACTAGACTCCTCCTGAACACAATCCTGAACACAATCTGGTCTATCCAACCTACTAGACTGCCCCTGAACGCACTTACTCATATCCTTCTCACAAAACGACGCCTCCTCCCCCTCACAACAAATATTAGAAAACAATGGATCAAAAGAAACAATCTCTTCCGTTGAAGAAACCTCCCCCTGAAGAGATTGGTCCTCGAAGAACGACTTAGACTCACAAAAGGTGACATCCATGGTAACATAAGTTTTTCAAGAGTGAGGATCATAGCACTTGTAGCCTTTTTGTGTGGAGGAGTAACCAGTGAAGACACACCGAAGAGCCTTGGGGTCTAGTTTGATCCGAGTAGGACGAGAAATATGAACAAAGCCAACACAACCAAACACTTTAGAAGGAAAGGAATGAGGGGGTACAGACATGTGAGAAAGGAGGGTAAGGGGGTGCTGAAACTGGAGGTTACTAGAAGGCATGCGGTTAATGAGATACGCAGCGGTGAGAACATCACCCTAGAATGGTTTAGGAACTCGCATCAACCTCAAGAAGATGATAGTTTTTGCGTGCAACATCACCATTTTGTTTGGGAGTGCCAACACAATTAGTTTGATAAAAAATACCATGAGCCTCAAGATATGCTTGAAATTTATCGTCAGTGTACTTATTACCATTATCACTTCGAAGGACTTTAACGTCGGTGTCAAATTGAGTACGAATCATCTTATGAAATGTTTGAAAGCAAGAAAAGATCTCACTTTTGGTGCAAAGCAAGTAAACCCAAGTAACATGAGAATAACAGTCAATAAAAGTAACAAACCAACGATAACCAGACACAGATATAACACGAGACGGACCCTATACATCAGAATGAATAACCATAAATAGAAACAAGCTTCTTTTATTAATTAAACGATGACAAGATCTTTTATGTTTTGCAAACTCACAAACATTACATTGAAAATTATTCCTATCACAATCCTTCACTAAATTAGAAAAATGTTTATTCAAAACTAAAATAGAGGGATGGCCTAAACGCTGATGCCACTGATGTAATAGAGAAAGAGATGAAATGCTGGTTGTCTGAAGAGCTTGGCCGGTGACAGAAGATTCACCCTTCTAAAAAAAAAAATCCCCTATGTGCTTTACCACTGCCAATCGTTCTCCTTGTACCTAGTTCTTGAAAAGCACCATGAGAAGGGAAAAAAGTTACAGAACAATTTAAGGAATTGGTAATGCGACTGATAGACAGTAAATTAATAGAAAATTTGGGAACGTGAAGAACAAAGGAGAGAGAAATAGAGGGTGAACAATGAATAGAACTTGTCCTAGACACAAAGGATAAAGACCCATCAGCCACTCTTACTTTATCCTTGCTAGAACAAGGAGAGTAAGAGTGGAAAAGAGTGGACAAACTTGTCATATGATCAGTAGCACTGGAGCTAATAATCCAATTGAAGGAAGGGACAACACTCAAGGCATGTGTAGGAGTACTTGTAGAAGCAAAGTTGGAGGAAGGAAGAGGATCAGAAGTAGGTGCATAAGAAGAGGCAGGAGAAGAATCAAGTCAAGCCATCAGACGCCGAAGAGTATGTAACTCGTCATGGGAAAAAGCTGTGGGATCACTCAAAGGACTAGTAGAGGATTCTGACAAGTGTGCATGAGAGCGAACAGTCCCACCATGGCCACTAGTACCACCACAGCTACTATCTCTCCCGCAGTTAGGTCGACCATGTAACTTCCAACAGTGTTCCCGATCATGCCGTTCTTCTTTCCCACAATAATTATAGATAATTTGATCATGAGCACTAGAAGGACCCTTACCCCTAGACGGAGAGAGACCAAATTTCTCATCCTTGGGAGTAGAAGAAACAACTACAGTAGGCCGGTCTTAAAGAGGCTGATGAGCCATAGCACTTCGCCGGCTCTCTTCTTGCAAAACATAAGCATAGGCCTTGCGGACAGTAGGAAACGGTTGGCGACCGAGAACCTGAACATGAATTGATCATATTCCAAGTTGAGACCAACAAGAAAGTCATAGACCTGCTCCTTGGACATCATTTGCTAAAAGGTAGTGGCATCTTGAGAACAGACAGCTAGGAACTTTTGATAATAATCAAGTTCTTGCCACAAATGGCTCAACTCAGCATAGTACTCAACAAGATACCTTTCCTTCTGATCAAACCCCCGAATCTTTTTCTGTAGTTCATATACTTGGGTATCATTACCTCGTTGGCAATCCAAATCTCATGAGCAGTATCCATCAACACAAAGGATCGGCTAATGGTGGGGTGGATGGAATTGATTAGCCAATTCATAACAAGTGCATTCTCTTTATACCATTTGTCATGTGTTGGTCCATCCTTGCTAGGAATCTTAGTAACTCCAGTTATGTAACCCAATATACCACGAGCAGTAATGGCCAATTGAAAGGAACATGACCAAACCAGATAATTGGTGCCATCTAACCTGACAGAAGTGAGATGAAGAGAAGAGTTATCACCCAGAGGTACAAGAGGACCTGACCCTTTGGCTTCACTAGTCACAAGGTTCTTATTATCATCAGCCATGGACCAAGAACACAACTATACTAAAAAAAATAGAGAGGAAGGTGGAACAGCCCCAACAAATCACAAAACCAGTCCCACAAGAGCCAAAACAGCCCAGAAAAGGGCAAAACAGTGAGGTAGAGGGTAAAAAGACACCCTTAACTAGGCTTGTAGACCAAAAAAAACAAGCCTAGAGCCACAACTAAAGCCAAGGAGGGCAAGAGAAGGTCCAGTCGGCTCCTAGGGATGGAGACCCAAGCCACGAATCAAGCAAAAAATGCACAGAACTGCCAGATCAAAAAAAGTGTCCATTGTTCCAAAAATTCAAAAAAAATTTGAAAAATAGGCAACAACCATCAAGAAAATTTTGAAAATTTTTCTGGGATATCCTTAGCCCTAGGCAAGCATCCTGGATTTTTTATTTTTATTTTTATGTTTTATTATTATTATTATTATTATTTTTACATTCTCAAATAAAAAAAAAAGGAAGAACGAACCAGGAAAAGAAGAACAAAAGATTACCTCTTCACAGCTCTGATACCAAGTTAAAATTATAAGAACAAGTTTAAGATTGAGAAGAGAGAAGAAAAAAAAAAATAAAAGAGAGAGAATTCTTATTGGGAAGAGGCACAAAACCTTAGATTAGGTTTTCCTCTATAACAATATGTATTTATACTAATCAAATAATTTATCCAAAAAAAAAAAAATTTATACTAATTAAATAAGTACATAAAGACAAAACTACCCTTCATCTAACTTAACACTTTTTATTTAAAGTAGTGGAATGAATAAAGAAAGGCATCTGATTTTAGTATCTACACCTGTGTGTAAAACCGGAGGACTTGGGTTCCCTCAGAGCAGCCCAGCTTTATTTTGTTTTCTTCTTGTTTCTTAAGTATTCAAAATAGGTAAGACAAAGAGTGGCCTAGCTGTACCAAAACAAATGGGCAAGCATGTCATCCTTCTTCTCATCCATTGTAAAAGAGGGGAAGGGAGGGGGGAGGAGGAAAGAGAGATCCAAAGCAAGATCTGAACGTGGAAATTTTGCATGAAATTTTTATTTGAAATAACCAATTTTCTTATTTGTAAAATTTTACTTTTTTGTTGTGCTAGTTGTCTGTACTGTTTCCATTTTCTACAATTCATTTCATATTTGCCTTTTTAAGAACAGGCACAATTTTTGCATATGGTGTGACAAGCAGTGGGAAGACTCACACTATGCATGTAAGGGATATTTCTTTTCCTTTAATAATGGTGTCTTTGTATTCTGGCTTATACCATACATTTGATGTGACAACTATCTTTTCTCTACGTGTAGTTACATTTATATGTCCTTTTGTCTTCTATGAGCATCGTTGTTTATCACATAATACTTTCTTGTTTTTGGTCCATATAACCCTTCCCTTGCATAATCAGAGTGAAATCTAGTGTCTCAGTGACTCTTAGATGTAGTGAGATCTTCAGAGGTGATGTTTGTCCATAACTCATCTCTCTGGGCTTTCAAGGAAAGGTGTACTAGATCAACATTATTAGTTCATAATAGAACATTTACTGTGAAAATCCATGAAGCATGGATACTGATACGGGATATGGGTATAATATGGATATGGGGATACAACAGAATCTTAAAAATAGGATATGGGTATGGCAAAGACAGGTTGAGAAAAAAATTTAATTTTTAGTATTATATTACACATGTACTCAAAGAGTACAAGTTAATTTGATAAAATCTAAACTAGGGAATTATTTTAATTTCATTATTTTCAACTTTGGAAAAAAAATTATTGAAAAATTATTTTTATATTTATTTTAACAATTATACTCTAATACTGTGCAAAAATTATTGCAATCTCAATTTCCTAGTAGTTTGGATACGTGACCTAGAGTGTTTGAAAAGTATCTGATACTCCTCAATTTAACCCCGTGTATCAAATACGTTTGGAAAGTATCTTATACATTACGTATTCGCGTGAGAATTAGCATCCGATACAAATATGATATAGATACGACTCTCTTTTAGAAGTATCTATGCTTCATAGGTGAAAATATAGTCAGGGATTAGAATTCCAAGGTAGATTTATGAAAACACAATATGAAAACACAACAGCAGGTTCTTGAAAGTGGAGGCAGGATGGGAATGAATGAGAGAGTGGCACAATGCTTTAAATGACAAACATGGAAGCTTCTATTTCCACTCATGGGTTCCTCTAGCACACATCTTTTTTGCGTGGAAATCAACTTTCGAATAAAACTATTTGGTTTGAAGATCAACTTCCGAACAAAATTATTTAATTCGGCTGTATCTTTGGTTCAGAAGTTGATTTCCGAACAAGTATTTGGTTCTGAAATTAATTTCCGAACAAAACTAGTAAGTGTGTGAACTGGGATAATATGGTGTGTGGAAACGTAAGCTCCCACAAAACACAGCATAAACTGAAGTTTGTTGAGAGCCTAAAGTGAACCTGTCAATTCAATTTGAATTAAAACCAAAAGAATCATAAAGTGATGTTGCAGTTTGGTACTAAAGATGTGTTTTCTCTCAAGGCTTTGAGCTCCATATCTGGGGTGTTTGTTTAGGGTCTACGACAAGGGGTTGCATGCTAGACTGTGGAGAAGCCACTTATCTACAAGAGATGTGGAGATTATTCAAAGGGCCACTTGACCTGTCTTGATTGCATGATTTCCTAGATTTCTTTGTTGTCAATCTCCACTTTCCACCAGGCCTCTAATTTGGTTGTATTTGCACCAGATTGTGGCATTTGCATTTTGAACGTTTGCAAATTTATCTGAATTTGTTTTGTTCCCATAATTTGTTGATTTTACTACACATTTTGATTTCAAATTCGTGTAATCAGCCTTGCCCATTTCCTAAAAAAAATATCTATGCTGAGGAAATTCTGTGGGATGTTGACAAAAGCAAAGAAATGTTGGCCTCTTGTAGTAAAGCCTGATAACAATGCACATAGCCTCAATAAGTTATTTTTCAATGCTTCCCTGCTTGTCATATTGTGTACAAAGAAAACTTAGCATATCTAAAATGAGAGGACTATATATTCAATGAAATATAAAAACTGATTGCATCTGGTATAAATCCAATGATGGAGAGGACAAACTGAGACAACTGAAAATAATTGTTTATCCCAATTCTTGGTTTACTTTTAGCAACATGGTCAAATGGTTATTCACCCAAAAACATGGTCAAATGGATTATTGATAGCTTATGGGAATAAATTTCTTATAATTTCTGTAGTTGGAGCAGGTAGGGATAATTCTTTGGTAATTGGGAGGTTTAGTCCTCCATTTCCCTATACCTTGAAGAACAAATCAAACCTGTGCCTTTAAGAAGTCTCTTCAATCTTTCTTTCTTTTTTTCCCCTTTCCTTGGGTCTGAATCAACTAATCTTTAAAATGCAAAAGGTATAGTTTGAAATTTGATTTGAGGAGGCGGACCAATCCTAATTTCCAGTAGATCTTACACCTTATCTTTGTAGCAACTGAGAGTGTCTACTCAAGGATATAAAATTGATTTGTGTTCAAAATAATAGATATATGAAAAGTTATTTCCTCTTCAATGGTGCTCTTATAACATTCAGAAGTGAAAGTTGTGATTTTTGATTCTTAGTTAATTTTTGCCTATCTAATTTTTCCTGGTAAAAGAAGTATTAATATTTAAACAAAACCTAAACTACTTTGAGAAAGCTTAGGTTGCATTTGGTAACCCCAGAGAAAAATGGATACATGTTTTCAATTTTTTTTTTTTTTTTGGAAAAAAAAAAGAATGTTTGATACACACGTTTTCAAAACAAATTAAAAAAAAGGAAGGAGAGAACATGTTTGGTGAGTTGCTAGAGGGGGGAGTTTGGCTTGAAGGGGGCCAAGAAGGGGAGGGAGGGGGACTGCTGGAGGAAGGGCAGGTGGGAGGATATGAAAACTTAATTCAAAACAAGTGAAAACCCTTTTTTTAAAACATGGGAAAACCCTTTTTTTTTTTTTTTTTTTTTTGTGTGTGTTGTTCTTTTGTTTGTTTATTTATTTATTTTTATTTTTGAAACTTATTGTCATTTTTTTAAATATGTAATGTAATATAATTTTTTGAAAACTAAATGTTACCTACAGGCCGTTAGTTTTTATTTCTGGCGTCATATACACATTCAAATATATTTTGTTTGGGTAAGGACATTAAAAAAATTCTACAAGGCATGATTTATTTGTTTTAGCTTAGGAAGTGTAACCCCGTCTGTGCATTGCATTCTGCATACACAGCATACTCATAAATTTAAAGCCACAAGGAGATTATGCTTTATAATGACAATTTATGCTGTTAATTTGATTGTTCTAATTGCAGGGAGATCAGAGGTCTCCTGGTATTATTCCATTGGCTGTAAAAGATGCTTTTAGTATCATTCAAGAGGTACTTCTATACAAGTTAGTCTGCAGTAGTGTGACCTTTATTAAGTATGTTACTTAATTTTAAAATGGAAGGAACTAATTTAATGTAACCTATGGGCCAGACTCCCAGCCGAGAATTTCTTCTTCGTGTCTCATATTTGGAAATCTATAATGAGGTGATCTTCTGAACCTTCTGTTCAGCTATTTACTTGAACCATCTTTTCATTACTGAGCTTGATATTCATGAGGATATTGTGGATTCTTTTCTTTTCTTTAATTTTTTCTTTCTATTTTTCAATGCATACTGCTGTAGTTGCTCTACCTCTTGACTTTCTAGAGTTGCTGATATGGTGCTGCACTTCTCATTTGCATTTTGACTGAGAGATCATAATCTGTAAAATGCATTCTGAAAATGTGGAGTGTAAGCTTTTGATGTTTATACAAGTTCTCTGTTTTATTCTCAGTGAAGTCATTAACTTCGCTTTCTGTTGCTATGTTATCTACGTTTTTTGAGTCCATTAGAAGTGGCATGTAGCTTAAGTAAGCTTTTGGCATAATTAAAGTGTCTTCTAGGCTTTTGGCAATGGACACAAACAATTTACTTGCATTTCTTCTTGCTAAAAACCTGTAAAAGAATAGTTCTCACTTACTTTTTATGACGGGATTAAAATAAGGGGCACTTGCGTGCTGGCCTTATTGACTAGACTTATTCACCTATAAGTTTGTTCCTTTTTTCACCTATCAATATCCCTAAAATACCCTTCCTTCACCTTCTTCGTCTCCATTATCAACACTATGACTCCCTCCTCCCTTGCTAGTGGCTGCTGTCTTTGACCACTGTGACCATCTCTGGCAATAGTGTCCAGCGACAACCTCTGACGATAATTTCCGACGACATTTCTCTGGCCATTTTCAATAAAAATAACATCTACCACTACCACTACCACTACCACTACCACGCTACTACTACCACCACCTCCACAACTCAGTCACTCATTCTCACACACTCATTCACTCACATTTACACACACACAGACACATACTAACTCACTATCATTTATACTTGCATATTTATTCACTCAAAGAAACACAACCACACACAGATTTAGATACATAGAGACTGATCTAATAAATTTATCATTTAGTGATAAATTTATTAATTTATCAGTGATAAATTTATCACTGACCGATTTGTAAAAATATTACAAACGACAAATTTGATTCACTCACTTGTACTCATGTTCACTCATTCATTTACAACAACAGCCCACCCTCCTCTCCCATACACATATAGAACAAGATAGATTGATAAATTTATCATTGAGAAAACTATGAATATGAATTTGAATCTGTTTTATAGCAATGTAGATCGGTAATGGTAGAGTGTAGATCTGTGACGGTGGTGGTGGGTGGATGAAGACGATGACGGTGGTGGTGGCAGTGGACGGTAGTGGTGTGAAGAGAGTGAGAGGTGGTGATGTGGTGGTTGTGTAGATTGGCACTGGTAGAGGGTAGATCTGCGACGGTGGTGGTGGGTGGACGAAGACAATGATGGTGGTGGTGGCGGGTGGATGACAATGGTGGCAGTGGACAATAGTGGTGTGAAGCTTTTGAAGAAATGGTGGAGAGAGAGAGGTGGTGATGTGGTGGTTGTGTAGATCGGCAATGGTGGAGTGTAGATCTGCCCCGATGGTGGTGGGTGGACGGAGATGATGACGGTGGTGGTGGTGGGTGGATGACGATGGTGGTGGTGGACAGTAGTGGTGTGAAGCTTTTGAAGAAATGGTAGGGGGAGAGAGAGAGAGAGAGAGAGAGAGAGAGAGAGAGAGAGAGAAATTTAATGAGGGTAACATGGGTATTGTCGGATTTATTGGTGCATTAAAAAAGTCAATAAGTCTATTTAATGGGATTAGATGGTAATTAACCCTTAAAATAATAGTAATTGTCTGCTATGCTCATGAAAATTGTTTATTTTTATATTAGATTCCTTGGAAGAACTATCAACTATCAGCCTAGTGTTCATTTGATAAGTGGTTGCCACATATTGCTTTGCCTAAAATTTTCAAAATGTTCATGTAGTTTCTTGCAATATTTATATAATTTGTTATTGATTAAATAATTTTATTTGTGTAATTTTCTGGTTTCTTTCTTTTCCAATAGATGAGTTTTGCAGTTTAAAGAAATTTATAACCTTATATGAAACCTTATTGCTTTGAGTAGCTGTAATAAATTGTAATGGTTGAAGATAATACTTTTTTTCCCCCTGTTGTATATATGCGTACATATATTTGCTTTTGCAGAAGTTCATTATCTTCAATTATATGTTTTCATTTCTGCTATTCTTCTTAAACTACTTTGACTTTCTCAACTTTTACCATCCATGTCCTGTCATATGAGGACCACTAGATTTGCTTCTTACTAATTGCCGATACTTTAAAAGCTATTTTCTGCTTGCATTATTAAAGAGAAACTAGTTCGTTTTGCTTTGACATTACTATCCGTTAAGATTTCTTTCATTTCAGGTTGTTAATGACTTGTTGAACCCAGCAGGCCAAAATCTAAGAATCAGAGAGGATGCTCAGGTTCTTGTCTATCATGACTGCTATTGTCTTTGCCCTTTTCTCTTTTATTTTTGATTGCCTTACTCTCTTACATCCTCTCTGTCAAGAACTGCTAGCATCTTATTGTGCCAAGGATGCAACATACTTTTCAAATCAAATATACCATTATTTGCAATAGTTGACTCAAAAATATGGTTTAGTATCTTTCCTAGTATTTTCCAGAATTTTATTCAAAATTTCCAAGGTCAATATCTATCTTGATATAATTGTTGCATATCCAGCTTTGTATCCACTTAAAGCGAAAAAAAAGAACAAAAAAACGACATCCAACTAGGTGATTGCATTTTCGTTGTTGTGAAATATCTTTTTTCTTTTAATCTATATTTTATTCATTGCTCACAACTCACAAGTAAAGAATTGAACAGATTTGGCTTACAATTCCTCTGCGTTTTGTAACGTGCCATCTTAGTGGTTTGGCTTGAAGAAAAAGGATTAGGTCCATGTTTGATGGGTTCTATTTAAACTATCTTGGGTATATCAGCTCGATCAAATAGTTTAAACTTCTGATTTGGGACATTATTTTAAAATATTTTGTACGTCTTTTCCTAGATTGATGTGTTAGAATCGGTAATTATTGTATGAATAGGCTTTGAAGATTTGGCAGCTACAGCTGTGCATATGTCCTGTAATTAGAATGTTAATATCCTTGATTTATGGGGATTAGGTCTTAGGAGAGTTTCCTTTTATACCTTAGTTATTTCCTATATATTTTTGTACATTCTCTGGTTGAATATTAACAAGAGATTTCTCCTATTCTGTCATGGTATCAAAGCCAAGTTAGGCTTCTTGTTTTTTCAATTTTTCAGCTTTCATCATTGGTGATTTTTTTCCCCCCAATCTGTGCAGAAACCTTTTTTTTTTTTTTTTGTATTTTCCCGGCTTTCATTGCTTGAAACTCTTGCCGACGGCCTTAATTGCCGTTCATTCATAACCTAATATTCCCACGTGAACCCAGAAATCTTTTCTCCCTTTGATTTCAACTATGTCTGACATTTTAGAATCCAGTAAATCTGCAGTCTCTTCAATGGCTGCAAACAACACTACTTCAAATAGTTGTGTTGGAGAATTGCAGAATATTCAACCTACTTCGCGTCTTAATGGCCAAAACTATTTGAAGTGGTCTCAGTTTGTTCGAACCTTTTTGAAAGGGGAGGGCAAACTGAGTCATCTTCTTGGGATGGGACCAAAACCAGAAGATCTGAAGTTCAGTGTGTGGGATGAAGAAGACTTGATGGTGATGTCCTGGTTATGAAATTCGATGATGCTAGAAGTTAGTGATACTTGCATGTTTTTGACAACATCAAGGGAGATTTGGGACGCCTGCAGGCAGACCTATTCTAAAGTCCGAGATGCTGCACAAATCTGTGAGATTAAGACAAATATCTCATCTACCAAACAAGGTAACCACTCAGTTACTGAATACGGTAGTGTGAGTCTTGGTGAAGTAATCCGCAAGTTGCAAAGCCAAAGAGACGAAAAGAAGCGCGATAGAGCCAGACTGCAAATGTTGATGGACAAAGTGACAATTAATGTGTTTCATCCGTTCATGGAAGGCAATATTATGGGCAATCTGAATAGCATTATGGTTGTCATAATAGAGAGAGGTCGGAGATGACTGAGGGACACCCAAATTAGTCAGCAGACAACGAAGCCAAATAATCTCAGCAGTGGCATGAGCCATGGCACGCTACTCAGCTTCGGCAAGAGAGCGAGCAACAACTGATTGTTTCTTGCTTTTTCAAGAGATCAAGGAAACACCAAGAAACATATAGAAATCAGACGTAGACTTGCGATCAGTAACATCACTAGCCTAATCCGAATCAGCATAGACTACCAAGTCTAAAGAGGAAGTAGAGGACAACAATAAGCCCTGAAAGATGGTACCCCTGGGATAGCAAAGAATGTGAACCAAAGCAGCCTAATGGGTAGAGCGAGGAGCAGAAACGAACTGATTAACCACATAAACAATATAAGCAAGATCAGGGCGAGTGACAGCCAGATAAACTAAACAACCCACAAGCTCGTGATGTAAAGCCCGATCATCCAGTGGGACACTATCAGTAGAGTTGAGCTTCACATTAAGTTCAATAAGTGTATCAGAAATCTTAGTATCAGTAAGATCAACACGGTGAGTGACCTCATTAGTATACTTAGCCTAAGACAGAAAATAGCCTTTTGGAGAAGAAGCAACCTCAATACCAAGAAAATACAGCAATGGGCCTAGAGCCTTCATTTTAGAGGTGCAGAAAAGATGTTGCTTGACCTCAGAGATAGCATAAGAGCCAGAGCCAGTGATGATCATATTATCCACGTATAGTAATAAACCAAACCAAATCAAACCAAGTTTTAAGTCCCATCAAATGGGGTCGAGATTCAAAGTAGGATTCATTGTCATAAGGGATTCTAATAGTTTTTTTTACGTGTTGACTGTCGGCTACCTAACACACAACCCTTCTCCTTAACCTGGGCTTGGGACTAGCAGAGTTGTTAACAACCTTGGCGGAGTTCCACATACAGTAATAAGGCAACAAATCCAACAGAGATGTGGAGAAGAAATAAAGCGAAGTCCTGGGGACAAGGATGACGCCTAAGCTCAGTAACAGTTGCTTGAAAGCGATCATACCAAGCACGATGAGACTACTTCAGACCATACAGAGGACGTCGAAGGCGACAAACCTGTCCAGAGAAATGGTGAAGGCTAGGGGAAGGACGCATGTAAACCTCCTCAGTGAGACGGCCATTAAGAAAAGCATTATTAACATCCATTTGATAAAGAGGCCAAGAACGAACAACAACGATAGAGATCAAAGTATGGACAATAGTCATCTTGGCAACAGGAACAAAGGTCTTCTCATAATCAATACCATGCTCCTGTGAGAAATCTTTAGCAACCAGACGAGCTTTGTAACGCTCAAGAGAACCATCAGAATGAGTCTCGACTTTGTAGACTCATTTGCAACCAACTAGATTCTTACTAGCAGGCAAAGGAATCAACTCCCAAGTACTAGTTTTCTGTAAAGCAGACAACTCATCCTCCATAGCTTGAATCCGATAAGGATCTTGACAAGCCTTCTTGTAAAGTTGAGGTTCTGGAAAAGAGTGAATAGTAGACAAAACGTATAATATGAAGGAGAAAAGCATGTTTTAGCAAAACCAATTTTTTTGACCTGTTTACGGATGCGAAGGGGATACTTACGGTTAGCAAGATCAGAGTTGTTAGAAGCCGGAGGATCAGCTGTAAGGGCAGAGACAATTGGTGGAGGAACAACCTTGCGACGAGAATATACTAACGGAGGAGGAGAAGAAGCAGGCTCATAGGGTTAAGTGGAGAAAGACTCAGCAGGAGAAGGGTGGTAGGAGGAGAAGAGAAAACAAGTTCATGGGGAGCAATAGAGATGCACTCATCAGGGGGGACCTCAGAAGGCAATGGATCAATGCGAATCAAATCCTCTTTGGAAACCGAAGCAGTGATAGAGGAAGCTAAAAGCAAGGAAGACGTTCGAGAAAAGAGACATGGCGGGAGATATAAAGACGACGGGCAATAGGGTTGTAACACTGATAGCCTTTCGGACTATAACCTAAAAAGACACATAAGACAGACCGAGCACTAAGTTTGGTCCAATCTTTGCCGGGGAAGAAGGACAAAATAGGTAGACCCAAACACACGAATGAGGGAATAATTAGGAATTTGGAAGAACAAAGCCTCATAAGGAGACCGACCAGAAAGAAGGGGAGTAGGCATGCGGTTGAGAAGAAAAGCAGCACTAAGAACTGCCTCCCCCCAAAATGAAGCCAGAACGGAGGCAGAGAGAAGAGACCTAGCTGTCTCAAGGAGATGACGGTATTTATGCTTGGCTCGACCATTTTGGGAAGGTGTATATGTACAAGAAGTTTGGTGAATAGTACCCAAATTGGCCAAATACTCACAGAACTTATTTTTAAAATATTATTCACCCAAGTCAGACCGTAACACTTTAATTGTAGACTCAAACTCGGTAGTAATCATAGACTAAAAGGTACGGTATATCTGATAGAAATCAAACTTATTAGTCATAAGATAAACCCAAGTGTAACAGGTGTAGTCATCAACAAATGACACATGGTGAGAACAGGAGAAGGACCTCAAACATCAGTATGAACTGAAGAAAACGGTGTATCAGATATAGAAGTACTTTTACGAAAAGGTAAGGCTGTCATTTTGGCAAGTTTACACCCCCGACATTCAGTAAGTTCACTAAGAGAAACTTTACCCAATATACCTAATTAAACCAAAGACCGTAAGCGGTCAGTAGACTAATGCCCTAATCTAGAATGCCACAAGTAGAAAGGACTGGACAGAGAATCTAACTGAAAAGAGGAAAAGGCAGTCGGAGAGGTTGTCATAGGCAGATGCAAGCTCTGCATAATATAGAGGTCGCCAACTCTACAGCCACTCCCAATCTGCTGCTTGGACATCCGATCTTGCACATAACAGATAGAAGAAGAAAAGATAACATCAAAACCAGAGGCATCAAGCTGACTGATAGATAATAAATTAACAGATAACTGAGGAATATAAGGGACAGATGGAATATAAATAGCAAACATATTAGACGATAAGACAAACCCAACAGATATAACAGACATACCAGACCCATTAGCAGCATTAACAGTAATAGGAAAGGGAGGGGGAGTATACTTTTGAAGTAAGGAAAGATGTGAGTCATATGATGAGAGGCACCAGAGTCAAAAATCCAGACAGACGGAGAGATACTTGAAAAAGACCCAAGCAAACCTGAATAAAGAGAGGAAACAATGGAGGCAGATGGAGATGGTTTGGAGGTAGATAGGATATGATGAAGCTGACTAATCTGAGCACTTAAGGAAGCTAAGTTAGGATCAAGAGTCGGAGCAGATGCAGTAGAACCGGCGAGAGGCTGAACGGTACTTACATAAGGGGCGCAGAACTTGATCGGAAATTG